CACGCTTCCGGTCCCCTAGTGTCCAACAGACGTACCCTGGCATATATCTAAGTGAACGCCCGCAATAATTCACCTTATTCTCTAAAGTTCTACTTCCCATGATAGTAATCAAAATACAATACCTTTTTAGAAATGACACCCCTCAAGAGATGAGCAAAGAAGCTCCGAAAGCAACCTATGGCTCATGCCAAACCCAAAATCGTTTGGTCCAAAAAAACCAACTCGTGATCACGCCAAAGGCGACGTACACAGCAATGACATACTACAGTTTTTTGGCACGAATTAGGGTTTCGGATCCAAACAAAGGTATGAAACTAGGGTTTTTCCATTGTCGATCGGTTGGAACCACCTGGAGTGCCAGTTACTTGCGTGATCGGACTGGGGTTGAGACGCAGGAGACTTTTGTTTTATGGAAAGATGGGTTTGATAAGCAGCCGGAAGTATGTTTATGGTGCGGAGATGGGACAGTGAATATGGTGAGCTTGTTAGCAGTCGGAATCGGCAATGGAAGGAGGCGAAAAATCAAACACTCAGTTTATTAGGTTCCTGGTGTTACTCATACAGGTATACTCGAAGAGCGTGCTGCACTTGATGAAATAATTTGGAGCGATTGATTCTATCAATTTCAGCTTGTGGACTCACTGCTCAATGTGAGCAAGGAAGGATATTTATTATTTTTTTTTTATTTCAGGCTAAACAAGCGATTATTATTATTAATGTTTTACAAATATTATATGTATTTTAAATAATAATGAGAATTTGAATGTATAATAAATTTAAATTCGGCATGGGCAGAGATGAATATGATATTAGGCAAAATTTGAATTCACTCGTGAAATGATAGTTGTTGTTGAATTAGTGAATTCACATTTGATATACAATCAATGATATCTATATTTCATTTTCTTCTTGTTAAATATATTTAAAAGAACTTATTTACAAGTAAGTCCCTTCTTTTTCTAATAAAATTTTAATCAATGTCCTATTTAATCTGCAAAACATTACACTTTATAAGATCCTGCTGTTATTTAGAGTTTCTTCAACAACCCACCACAATCTTTATTTCATTTGAATCCACCCCTTTTGATCATCATCAGCAGTAGCACTTGAAATCACTCTAAATAAAACACTAATTCACAGTACTTACGTCATAAACTCATATGGGTTTCTTCCAGACAGACTCTCTAAGAAGCAAAATCCATTTTTCACCAGAAATTCATATGTTTTGAGATAACCCAAGTTGCTCTGTCTCCAGCTCAACTTTTGAAGCAACCATTCATGGCAAGGAACATACTCCTTTGTACGTGGTACCGGATATCCGCACTAGATGAAAGGTGGATCGGGGCTCCCGCACTCGGTTAGACTATGCCAGGGACTGAAGTTCCTGCGACAAGAGTCACGTTAGAGCTACCTGGCTGGGATTGGTCTGATACCCCTCCGGTTGGGGAATTAGTATCGGAGAAGGATGGGAGTTGAGTATGGTTTTGCTTGGAATAGTTCAGTTCTATTCAGTTACCTTCAATGTGAAGTTCATGTAGTATATATATGTTGTTCCTTGCTTGCTTCTCAAGGTGGATTCATGGAGCTTGGATGCTGCCAGGTGTCCTTTTGGCATTGCTCATGGTGGGGGACCACCTGTTAGTTGCCAATAAATGCATATACTCATTGTAGTTATGCTGATAACAAACTACGTTCCTTTGGCTCAACAACTTTTGTGATTCTAGGTGTAGGGGACCAGCTGAGGTGGCAACCCGCACATGCACACGTTCATAGCTTTCACGTTTCCTTGCGAGGTTTCCTCAGCTCGGTACCGATGTTCCTCAGCTCGGCATCATTATGCCTTGTCTCGGCCTTTTACAAGATCACTCATGGAGATGGGCTTGTCCATTCAGGTAACTTTGCATGGGCTCGGCCTATTTTCTGTTCGGCCCGTAGATTTAGTCTCGCAGCTCGGCCCAGCCCAGCACCACGGCTGGATTGGCCTTTCCACTGCGGGTTGAACCCAAGTGCTTGAGGACTTGGGTGGACTGTTGGTCATGAAGTTGGACTTAATTGGTTTGCCCATATACTCATCCAACCCACTTGGATTTGGACTTCAGTGGATTGGACCGGCCCAAGGCTTGGACCCGACCCATTTCACGTTTAGCCCCTTCATTTGTCCCTAGCTCGCACTAAGATTCCCCTTGGGAGAAGCTATTGTTCTGCTTCCCAAGCGTCGCGTCGTTTCGATTTTCCTCAGCTCGGCCTTGGTGACGGTTTAATCCTGACACGCAATTCCTGCATGCGTCCTTTCATAATGACACGTGGCGACGTGAGATTGGTGTGCAGAGATAGTGCGTCGATCCCATACTGAAGGTCGTGCTCCATGTACCTGCGTGCCGGCTAGTGCAATTAATGCTCTGGCTGTTAATACAAATCCCTCCATCTGCTTTTTCGTTCCTCTAGAGAGTTTCAAAGAGAG